AATCAAACTTGTGCAGCGTTTCCGGGCGAGGACGCCGAACGCGTCTGATTCCATATTTAAAGTGCACCTACACCCAAAAAATTTTTTTCGCTTAACGAAGTAAGCTTATTTTTTTGAGTATTTCTGCGCAAAAATTTTTTTATTTGCTCAAATCTTCAATTTTCTATGCCCAGTCAAAATACGGAAAATCGGCCGCCATCTTGCCCCACGACCGAGTTTAAAGAGGAATGGCTCTAGTGGGTAATGTGACGTCAAATCGAGAACACGAAAGTCTGCATTTCACACATTTTCACTTGTTTGGGAAGGTTGTAGTCGATAATTGTCCGAAAATATGCCGACTAAGTGTGTTGTAGAAGGATGTAGCAACGTGCGAAATTTGCAAGAGGGTATCGCGCTTCATACATTCTTCATACAACACACCTAGTCGGCATATTTCGGACAATATCGACGACAATCTTCCCAAACAAGTGAAAATGTGTGAGATGCAGACTTTCGTGTTCTCGATTTGACGTCACATTACCCGCTAGAGTCATTCTTCTTTAAACTCGGTCGTGGGGCAAGATGGCGGCCGATTTTCCGTATTTTGACTGGGCATAGAAGATTAAAGATTTGAGCAAATTAAAAAAATTTTGCACAGAAATACTCCAAAAAATAAGCTTATTTCGTTAAGCGAAAAAAAAATTTTGGGTTTAGGTGCACTTTAAGGTAAAAAGAATTCCAAAGTATTAAAGTTACAAGCTTTAAAATGAACACACACTTCCTACGCTAAAAATACTTAGAATCTCTACCAAACCAAAAGACAATGCTACACCTCCTTCAGAGGACCGTTTTCTCTTTTCAGGGGCTTTTGATTTTTTATGCCTTTTGCCAGGGTTGGCAGTTTCTCTTCCTTTGTACCCTGTAGAAACAGAAGTGTACAAATATAACTACGTGGTCACATAGTGTGAAATGGGTAAACAATGATTCAAAATAGATACTTAGTATCTCTACCAAACCACAAGACAATACTACACCTTCTAAAGACCGTTTTCTTTTCTCAGGGGATTTTGATCTTCCATTATTGCCAGGGTTAGCAATTCCCTTTGCTTTGTACCCTGTAGAAACAAAAGCGTACAAACAACAAATTCTGTTCACTTTTAATACACTTTCCTATAACTATGTGGTCAATTAGTGTGAAATGGGTAAACAATGATTTAAAATGGATGCTTCAGGGAAAAGAATTCCAAAATATTAAAGTTACAAGCTTTAAAATAAACACACACTTCCTATGATAAAAATACGTAGTATCTCTACTAAACCACAAGACAATGCTACACCTCCTTCTGAACACCGTTTTCTCTTTTCAGAGGATTTCGATCTTCCGTCATTATTGCCAGGGTTGGCGGTTTCTTTTGCATTGTACCCTGTAGAAACAGAAGTGTACAAATTAATATAAGTATGTGGTCACATAGTGTGAAATGGGTAAACAATGATTCAAAATGGATACTTCGCAAAAAAAAGAATTCCAAAATATTAAAGTTACAAGCTTAAAAATGAACACACACTTCCTATGATAAAAATACTTAATATCTCTACCACACCACATGACAATACTACACCTTCTAAAGACCGTTTTCTCTTCTCAGGGGATTTTGATCTTCCATCATTATTGCCAGGGTTGGCATTTCCTTTTGCTCTGTACCCTGTAGAAACAGAAGAAATGTTCCTTTGAACCGATATATTTTTAACATTCAGGGGTGTACACACAATGATTTTCACAAATTAATGTTCCCGTAGCCACCAAACAGATAAGAGGTAAAACCATCAGAAAAGTAAACAAATGGCCAGTTATGAAAACAATGCTTTGCTTTCCCCTATAAAAATTTGCTGGTTACTCATTTTAGTGATATATATCGATATAAATAGTGATGACTCGTAATGAGAAGAATGAAGGCTTGAAATTTTATTTGAGAACAATTGTGGCCTGGATGCTTTGTTAAAAACAAAGAATACCCAGGAATGGTGAGGAATATTCAACAATAATGCAAACGATGGTGAAAGATGATTGTGGAAAAGCAATTGCATTGAGCATCTTCACTCATAGTTACACCTTTAGTCTTTCAAAGAGCTTTGACTCAGTTACACATGCGCATTAGTACTCGTTATGGACAACTTATCATGGCTTGTTCTTCACTTGTTTAGTACCTTACTACGCAGTGCGGACAGCTCAACACAGTCAAGAACTAGGTTCTGACCATCATCCACAGCTTGCCCCGTATGAGAACTTGTATTATAAGCATTCCTGTTGAGAAGCAATACACCACTTCTCCTTCAGGTTCCTTACCTGGGGTAGCAACATTGCTCTCACCTGTATCTGTGTCATTCTGTTCTGTGGGCATTTTCTTTTCTGTACACAGGTGACCTTGAACAAAAAGAACCTGACCATCATCCAACACTTGCCTCATTTGACCCTTTGTATCAAAAGAGTTGCCATTCAGAGGAAATAGAGCACTTCCTCTTTCAGGTTCATTGCCTTGGGCAGCAGTGTTACACGCCGCTGAACCACCCCTGAGATACGCGTCTGTTGAGTGACGCTCCAAAAACTTGGGGCAGATTCCAGGTGTAGTCGCGGACTGTCCAGGCATTGGGGTTTTTGTTCCTCCAAGTGCTGATGATAGTAAAAATAAATATCTCAGTGTTTTTAAACAAAACTTATCTTTCTAGTTAATATCTTTACTAGAAAACAATCATTTTCATTTCCAATGAAGTTTATAAGCAACTCCAGGCGAATAAAACAAGGTAAACATTGGTAATGACTATAAAAGCTTCAGACATGAACGAGTAAGTGTGACAACAACACCATAAATACTCATCCTGTCAATCAGTCAGATTTTTAAAGAAAAATTGGATCTTTAGTGAAAAACAATCGTTTTTATTCGTTACAGAGTTTTAAATGATCTCGAGATGAATAAAGCAAAGTGAACATCGCCAATGATCAAAAAAAGCTGTAGATGCAAACAAGCTATTGCATGACAACCACAGCAATTACCACGTGGTATTTGAGTCTTTTGTAGGCTAGCGGACCAAAACAGTTTACGAGTCAACATTTTACGTGTTTATTCCTTACGATTTACTTAAGATGTTACTTTACTTCAAGTTTAAACACTTGATAAAAGTTCAGGCAACGCGACTCAAAATATCGGGCAACATGACTTTGAGCGAGATCACTTTCAGGTGACTTGACCGGTTACCACTCCTTCGCATGTGAAGCTTTTACAGTCATTGTCGATGTTTATCTTGTTTTATTTGCATTGAAATCCTTAAAAACTTCGTTAGAAATTAAAAGAATTTTTTTTTTAAAAAAGATCTTGACTAGAAAGCTAAGTTTTCTTTAAAAAATCTGACCAATTGACATGATGAGTCTTTACAGTGTTGTTGTCGCGCTCACTTGTTCGCAACTGAAGCTGTTATAGTCATTGGTGATGTTTAACTTTCTTTGCTCGCCGAGAAATCCTTACAAACTTTGTTGGACATAAAAGGAATTGTATTTTACTAAAGGTCTTGTCAAGAAAGTTAAGTTTTCTTTAAAAAATCTAACCAATGATCATGATGAGACTTTACGGCACTATCGTCCACAACAACTTGTTCGCATCTGAAGCTGTTATGGTAATTGGCGATGTTTATCTTGCTTTCTTAGCCTTGAGACTGTTATAAACATTTTCGAAAACAAAAAGAATTGCTTTTTAGTAAAGCTCTTGTCTTGAAAGCCAAGTTTTCTGAAAAAAATCTGACCAATTGACGTGATGTCTTTACAGTGTCGTTGTCACAATAAATAAGTCGTTCGCGTCTGAAATTGCTATAGTAATTGGCGATGTTCATCGTGCTTTATTAGCGTTGAGATCCTTCTAAACTTTGTTGGAAGAAAAAGAATGTTTTTTTTACTAATAATCGTTTACTTTTCCACATGTTTAACTTCTAATAAGCCATACTAGATTGAGGACCAACTTGCCGACGTCTCTACTCAATTTTATACGTCGGTGAGTTGGCATAGGCGAGTTGAACTGTTAGCGACTTGACTGGATACCTTTTAATGGACCCCAACTTCATCCGTGTCAACAAAATGTAAGAAAAGATCTTGACCAAACAAACTTGGTCGATAAGCTATTGTACTGTACATTTATCTCCTTCCAAAAAAGGAAAGGGAAAAGGAACACACTGTTAGTGTACTTAGTGCATTTTGAAAATGACCTCGCTTTTAATTCAGTTCTTAACAAATCCAAAATTGAAAAAAAAAAAAAAAAAAAAAAAAAAGAAAACAGATTTTTACCTTTCAATTGAAAAATGAAATTTTCAAGGACCCGAGTCTAAATTCAAGGGTTTTCAAGTCCTTGAAAACCAAAAAGTTAAATTCAAGGACTTTCAAGGAGTGCAGGAACTCTGTAATATACTTGTATTAAATAATGACAGTGATCACAACAGCTAGTGGGAAACAGAAGGTAATAAGAGAGCAGAAAACACGAACAGCAGTGCAGAGGAAAAATTTTGAAAATAGAGAAAAAATTCTAATTACCTTCATTTCTGTTGAAATGTTTTTCCCACCACCTTGACCCTCTTTCGGAACTAACCACGGAATCCGCTTCAGAGTCAAAATCACCTGCTCTTGAGTGCCCTCCATGGGGACTAAAGGTAAATATCACAAAAATCATAAAAGATGGATCTTAAAAGAGAGATCCTAAGAGAGGGAAACAGTAAATTTGGATCTACACTATAATCTAAACACCTGTCTGCTCTGATTTGCAGTCTGGTGCTTCCCTACTGAACTACAAATGGATAAAGTGAATGAGGTTCTAAAGAAACTGTGGTGCAGCACCAGTGGGGGGGGGGTATTACAAGTTTTGAATAAATATTCAGATGATAACAGTAAAAAGATAAAGATAACTTTAACTTACTGGAAAGAAGGTGGTCTAGATTCTTCAATGCCACCTGTCCCGGGCACTGGAGGGCGTATGCCAGATAATGCTGATATCACTGTCTGCTGATCTCTGCCTGGGTCTGACACACTTTTTGTGTCTGACGTGAAAAGCTGCAACAACAATTGATGACTACTGATCAGATTTGCAGTAAAGTATTCTCAGTCGAGTTTTGATGGTGGAAATTGTTAATCTTGTTCAATACTGTGTTGAATTCAAAAGGAAACTTGATTTATCACCATTTCTGCTGACTTAAACTCAATCTTCAGTAATATTCTTTTTCTTGTATTCTTTCATAGTCCACTCCATATAATCCTATTGCATATGACTACCTATCTGTCACAATTTCATGCTTTTACGAAGAGCAAGTGGAATTATTTCAGGATTCCTGGGGCTGTTGTCACACAATCGTGAATGAGGCTACGAACATTTCATCACGTGACTATTGCACAGTGAAACTGAGTTCTAGTCTGTTGTAATTAATTTATTTAATTGTCTATCTATTGTTATTATTATTTATTTGTGTTGTTAGTGTAATTATTGTGGAATATTGATTTTATTGTTATTGGTGTTTTTTTTTTTGTTTTGTTTGTTTTTGTAAGTTTTTAAGTTTGTTTTTCTTTGTTTGTCTACTTTGGTATTGTTGTTTTATCAGTTTTACTTTAGCGTCGTTGTTGTGCAACTAGATACCAGGTTATTGCTCGTGCAACGTTATATGATGTGGTGTGAGATTTGAAATTTCTAACGAAACATTGCATACAACTGAAGAGGTCTATGGACGAAACTAGTTTTGTAGTAGGCGTGTTTTAAAGTGTGTTGAAAGTTAATTTTAATGAGGTTTTGTTTTCAATATGACAACTTTACACCCAAATTAGTTTATATATTCTCCATATTGTTCTCCATATATTTCCTATGGTGCTGATAAGAACAATTTATTTCCTCGGCTAAAATAAGGGCTAAAAAAGGCAACCGTCTGCTATGCATAATCACAACCGAGTTGCAATCTAAGATAAATCGGGTTTCCTGCTATGAAAATATATCAACAAAGCATAAGTTTTGGCTAGCTTAGTTCTGTAATCCATTTGTAGGTTATGTTATTTTTTTAATTCAATGACAGACAGCCTACCCGAGCAACGACCCTTCCATTTAAAGAAGGCAAATTCATCTCTTCATTGTTTCGCTCTACTTTAATTTTCCTGCAATAGGAATTAGAAATCGTCAACTGAATATATTGATTACTGGCAAGCACGCTATCAAGAGTTTGGTTGGAATCCATAAAATCTGTGTGAAGAAGTGACAAAAAGACTTTGCTTTAGGTTGCCAGAAAAAGAAGAAAATTATTTCAACTAGCAGCAGGTATATATGTACAGGCGATAGACACATGGAGTCTGGGTGTCTCAAAAATTCAGACCCGAAAAACTCAAGACCCTCTGGGTGTCTTGAAAACTCAGACCCCAAAAGCTCAGACCCTCTGGGTGTCTCGAAAACTCAGACCCAAAAAACTAAGACCCTCTGGGTGTCTCGAAAACTCAGACCCGAAAAATAAAACATATTTACACTGCGTGAATGCTGCAAGCTGACTTGCTTACTGTTTGTCGATACAGTGGCATTACGTGCACTGATCATGAAAATTATCTGCTGAGAAAAGAAAAACAGCTTGCAGTGTTAGACACGTGCAACAATCATGAAAATTATACTCGACATTCATATAGATTTTTCTTTTCATTATCATATTTACATTACAATTTTACATTTATGTAGCACAGACTTCTATGTGGATATATTCAGTCGCGCTTAACAGCATCGTAAGGTTGAGATCAGATGTATAAGCCAAGTTTATATCCACAACGTGTTGTGTCATTAGAAGCCATTCTCGAGGTGTGTTGCATGATGGTTCCCTGTACAAAACAGGACTGGCGTCACACGACAGTAGCAGATATAACCTTTCGCAGTCCTTATACTTCGAGAAATTCTTGCAATTGAGTCTCCTGCATTGAATTTTGAGCAGAATAGACCATTACTGGTCAAAGAGAAGTCGTTTTTGTTAATTCTGTAATATAAATGAGGTGTCTGTAAAAGGATTGAGATTGCTGTCATTTGGTTGAGCAAGTGTGGTTTTACCAGCAATTGATTTTATAACCAATCGTTTTGATAAGTACTTTTTATTTCAAAACAAACAGTTGCAATGTTATTTCAGTGTTCAGTTTTGTTGCAATGTCGTTTCCAAAAACATTTAGCAAATCATACAGTAAGTACATTCAAGCATTTTTATTGAAAGGAAAGAAAATAACTCGT